CACGCCTGCCACGAGATATGAAAAGAAAGTGAAATCTACCTTTGTTCCCTTTTTCGTGTTAGTGGGTGGTTTTGATTCCTTAATAATTCTCTTGATATTCTGTTTTACCTGCTATTCCCCGAGCATGTTTTTCCCTCCCAACTTTACTTGTTTATTTTTGTATTTCTTTCCCGCTGTATATAATTGAACTGTACAGGTTTATTTGGTAGTCTGGTCCTAGCCTCGTCACTACTTCGCCGAGGTTAGGCTAGGCACTTACCAGTACATTGGGTCGGTTGTGATGATACTACATTCTGCACTCTTTTGTGCAGATACCAGTGTTGTGGACTTCGGACCGCAATGAGATTGCTGATTTTTGATCATCAGGAAACCCTAGGTAGTCCTATAGGCGTCCGCAGGCCTTGGCGTCTCCTTCTATCTACTTTCCTGTTTCTTACATCTATTTCCAAAAACAGTGTTGTAATCAATTCTTTCAAACCTTTATTTGTAGTATTCTTAGACCGTCTGTGAAACTGTGACACCAGTTCTGGGTAGTCGAGACTCAAACAGTTGTAAAAGGATATTCATGTTTAGAAGGCTTATTGTTTTCTTCCGCTTATGTTATATTCCGCTCTTTAAATATNACAAGATATAATAAAATGGGAGCGGGTGGTACGCCTACCACAAGACAAGTGAAATGGGAGCGGATGGCACGCCTGCCACGAGATATGAAAAGAAAGTGAAATCTACCTTTGTTCCCTTTTTCGTGTTAGTGGGTGGTTTTGATTCCTTAATAATTCTCTTGATATTCTGTTTTACCTGCTATTCCCCGAGCATGTTTTTCCCTCCCAACTTTACTTGTTTATTTTTGTATTTCTTTCCCGCTGTATATAATTGAACTGTACAGGTTTATTTGGTAGTCTGGTCCTAGCCTCGTCACTACTTCGCCGAGGTTAGGCTAGGCACTTACCAGTACATTGGGTCGGTTGTGATGATACTACATTCTGCACTCTTTTGTGCAGATACCAGTGTTGTGGACTTCGGACCGCAATGAGATTGCTGATTTTTGATCATCAGGAAACCCTAGGTAGTCCTATAGGCGTCCGCAGGCCTTGGCGTCTCCTTCTATCTACTTTCCTGTTTCTTACATCTATTTCCAAAAACAGTGTTGTAATCAATTCTTTCAAACCTTTATTTGTAGTATTCTTAGACCGTCTGTGAAACTGTGACACCAGTTCTGGGTAGTCGAGACTCAAACAGTTGTAAAAGGATATTCATGTTTAGAAGGCTTATTGTTTTCTTCCGCTTATGTTATATTCCGCTCTTTAAATATTATTTCTTCGTAATTGCTAAAGAGAATAAAATTGGTAAAAAAGGTAGATGGTTCAATAATTGACTTGCCTAGCTCACACTAATAGGCATCATCACAGTTCTCAAGGGTGGGAAATCCGAGTCGTGACATTTCTATTCCATTAACCCTCCAATCTGTATAGAGAGATACTAAAAAACTTTCATCAGACAATTTCTAACTCAATTTTACCCTCAAGCAATATTGGTCTCAACATTTTAAATACCTATCATAACAAAGATAATCATATAGATCTCTATTCACTTAAAAGTTGAGCTAAACAAAGGGAAGCGAGGGTATTTAAAATGTTTTGTGTGATTGAAAGTGAGTGAAAAATATACACTTGTTGGGTAGTGAATACCTTTAGTAACTTGGCATCCTCTTTAAATTCATAATTGTTGAGGTTACTAGAAAAAAAACTCATTTCAAGATATCTGAAATTAATTCTCAAACAACAAGATTTGTATTTGTGTACTTCCCATTCTAGCAAACAGAAAATAAGATAGTAAATCAAAGAAGACAAATCCAAATTTACCTCTTCAGTTGAACCCAAAGGACGATCTTAAGCTGAGATAATACACAATAGAGACCAAATCAGCAATAGAAATATGCAAGTTTCATATGTTAAGAGATAAAGAATGTAGGAGAAAGACGACAAATTTTGTATTATGCTCAACAAATCGATATACTGCAGAACATTTTTATTTCCAAAGATGGCACATCCAAAGTTTGATTACCTGGTCGATGTATATTTTCTATCAACTAATCCTCATATAACAATTTTAAGGAGAGCAGGAAGTTAATAGCTAAAAAGTCAGTTTACCCAGCTTTACCTACCAAACATGCCAGTGCATAATGCCTTAACATACCTCTGAAGTACCTCTATCCTTTTTCTTTGCCTTCCTCACTTTTGCTCTACGTTGATCTTATTTGAGAACATGAAGAATCCTCTGTTCACTGCAGTGTCCACATGTATAACCTATACTAAAGCAAGCAAGAACTAAATTGATGCAAAATACAATATAGTCACAAGTAGGATAATATCTTTAAAATTTGATATTTCAACCACAAAGTTAAAGTCTTAATAACATTACTAAATATTGCGCTAGCATAAAAAAATAAATAGTATGCGTCAATTGATATGCCAAATTGATCTACCTAACTCAAATATTGCCATGTTTATTCAATATCAAACTAGAGCCTCAGTCTTAGCTTCAGAAGTTATACAATTAATAATGAGAGAGAGAGAACAAGAATTAACTACTAGACAATAGAATGTGAGAATAAGAATTTGTGCCCAGATTGTATAATCGTAAAAAGTTATTCTCCTACGAAAATACAAGTGAAGGTCATCCCTCCCCCTTATGGGCTAGAGAACGTCATATAACTAAATATCATTTATAATAGAGAAAACCAAATCTCATTGTAATTGAAGTATATCTTCATCACTATCTCATATTTTTATCACTAATTCATAAAGCTTCATGAAAAAAGTACCATATCTTCTTGCACATCTTTTAATTATCAAACCATATAAATAATAAAATATTTTAGTTTCAACTACCAAGCCTCAATGTATGCCATTAAGTCATAAGCATTTATACGTTTATGCTACAAAAACTTTATGTCAAACTTAAGTAAAAAACTTATGCGAACATTTTGAACTCCACAATTGGGAAGTAATACTATAATGCTTCAAATGCAAAACAAAAACATACAAAGCACTGAAGAAAGTAATTTGATAACAAAAGAACATAATAATAGTTGTACTATGAAATGAAGCAAGATGTGGCGGACATGAAAATTGTGCCGCACGTACAAACTAACAAGTTATTAAAACATATAAGCATATAAGAAAAGGCAAACCAAATAGGTCCAGAAATTTTCATCTCATGAAAATACCTTCTTAATGCTTTAGTTCCTTTTCAAACACTTATTATTGCTTTCTGTCCATCCATATTTGATACTTAATTTATGCTTCCTACTAATTCTTTCAAATTCTTACTATTTATCCAACAAATTTCACTTCATTAATTGGCTTCAAAACCAAAATGATTTCAATGGTAAGGATAGGCCAAACAAACATTTCATCAAACAGGTAATATGCAATGGTCAATCCCAAAAGAAATTCCGCAAATAGGCAAAGCTAGTATAGAAATGTTTAAGATCTAAACACAAGTACATTTAAACTTAAGACTAGTACTATAAAACAAACCTGAATGAAATCTGTATTTGAACTCTGTTGAAATTTTTTTTCCTTGTTGAATTTCACTTAAGCAAATATTGACATATATAAGAGCACATTTCAGAAAGAAAATGAGGCATCACTGCAAATTTTAGGGTGGAGGGAAATTTGGCACATGAGGTGATAGTGTCTATGGAGATTACGGTGAAGGTGGGCAAAACAGAAAACCTAATGAACTGATGTCATTAGGAGGGAAATTGTTTGCACTTTCAAAATGGGGGGAAATGTTTCACGGGAAATTTAAAGGAAGGGGGAATTTTATTAAATTTCTTTAGCGCACACTTGTGAAGTGTTGCTTTTAGAATTATGAATACAGCTCACTCTAAAAGCGTCGCAATATAAATGCATAAGTGTTGCCAATTAATTTATGTTTGGAAACACTTAAGTTGCATTGCCTTTCAATTTAAAAAGAAACGCTTTGCAACCGTGGCCATAAAATGTGATGCCAAACGCTATCAGCAAAGGCCACCCTTGAAAACTGTTCCCACATATAGTTTTGGAAATACTTTTTACGCGTTGTCAAAAGTTAGTGTGTACTTAGGCCAGATTTGTTGTAGTGGCTATTTTGTCATGGTATCAAATCTAGGCTCTCAATCCTAAGCTCAATCAGTTGATTCTTCACTTAATTACATCTCTAAAATAGTTTTCTGTGCGAGTAGCGAAGTTTCCCCAATTTCAATTTGATCATTCAGGAAAAGTTCAGACAAGACCAATTTCCTTTCAAAACTGATCGATAAGTATGGCTATCGATGAAAACCCAACGGATTCCACAAATCCACTTCTACATTCAACAAATCCTCTTTACATGCATCCATCTAAAAGTGCATGATCTATGCTTGTACGGGTACCTTTCGACGAATCTGGATGTAGGTCATGGAGAAGAGGAGTTTTTAGAGCTCTCTCAGTGAAAAACAAGGTGGTGGCGTGCCCCCTTTTTCCCTCCTCTTTTTGACGGGGAAGAGGTCCGGGTTTCGATATTCATGGGGTATAATGACTCATTTCCTTTTGGGAATTGGGTATTTGAAGAGTCGCCACCTAATGGGTTATGGTGCGTTAGAGCACCTAGAGCGATTAACTCTAAGTTGGTTTGCATTACCAGAGATTAGGGTAAGGGCTCGAAGTAACCTCGAGGGAAAGGTGTTAGGCACCCCTCTTGGTCCACAACTGTGGATCCTGGCCGAACTTATATTTATAAATTAGTCCATATAAACAGTTAAATCAAAATAAGTTACAAGTAAAGCACGTTAGATAACTCAAGTGGCAAGATAAAGGTTTGAACAAGCTTAAATAGAGAGAGAGAGGATTTGGTAAGAGGGGTCCTAGGTTGTTTATCATATAGGATCACCCCACGCAATGCTGGTAAACACTCCTCAATGAGGGGCAACACGTGACATTAACGCGTAGTCATCATATCCCATGTCTACCCTTCCCATCCCCTTATTGGTCATGCAAAGCGAGTGTTTGGTCACTGATTTCTATTGCGTGCTGCTACTCATCCCTTCTTAATGGTCTCGGAGGGGGTTAGGACCTCTACCTATAGGTAGTTATAGACATACCCCTAAGGTTTAGAAAGGCGAAAACTCTAAAGCGACAGTCAAAATATTTAGGACTTTCACACATAATGGGAGCAAATAAGAGGCTCACAGTTTCCTCCTCAAGTAAACACACAAGCAACACGACTCAAACACAATTAAGGTCTTTATTAATTAATGTCCTAAAACAGGATATCTAAGTGAATATGCAGAAACAAATAAAAACTTTTATACCCAGAAGTTATAACCTAGTAGTTACCTAGGGACTCCTTTTTTTAAAAGCTTATTAGGATCAGAAATGTTAAACGACAGAAACAGCTTCAGGGAAATGCATTTTTTTTTGAAAACGCCCTAAGGCTTGCCTATATGCAGTACTGGTATCTATGTTAATATTGAAACAAACAGGTTTTTCGAAATNTCTATGTTAATGCAGAAACAAACAGGTTTTTCGAAATAGACTCCTTTAATACCTATAGGCATGATATCTAATGAGATTGAGGCAATTGTGAAAGAGCTTGTTTCAGGAAATGTTTAACACTTAATAAGACTAGTTTTTAAAAAAAAATGAACAAGGTGTAGTGAAGTTGATTTATTAGGCCGAATTAAATTATCAGACAGTATTGCGAGTAGAATCCCTATAGGCATTATGTCTAGGTGGATTACTAATTGTAATCGATTTGCAGCAACATACAAGAATGCTCATTAAAACTGAATTGGAATTGAGTCCTATAGGCATGACATCTACTGATTTAAGACATGATTGTTTGGAAACTATAAACATGGTTTCTAACATGACAAAATGTAGAACCTTAGGAACATGATTTCTGCTTGATGCAAACGAAATTAGAAATGAGATCCTATAGGCATGATTTCTATTAGGCAAGGCAATCAGTTTTAAAAGAGTAAAACCCTATGAGCATGTTTTCTATTGAGTAAAGCAGGCAAATTTTAAAAAATAGGATCCTAAGAGCAGGATTTCTATCCATATTACCCCATAAAGTATACATCTACCCACCCTTTTACTAAATACCCTCAAATATCTGTTTACAAATTATTACAGGCCAATGAATGAATTACATAAGTAAAATAGAAAATCAAGAAACTATTCTATAGGGAGCCTGCAATTAAGCCCAAGTTTCCCCAAAGCCTCCAATGGTCTTATAAGCCTCAATTCCATAGACAAATCAGAGTCTAGGTGCATCAAAGTTCCCTAAGGGTTTCAAGGTCCCCGGGCAATGCTTACACCTAGACTTAGCAACCAAGAATTGAACCAGTGCAGTTTGGAAAGGCCAGCCTCAGTATGCCAAAGTTCAGAGGGCTCTCAAGAGGATCCCAAGGCAGTACACATACTAAAGGGGGCAGAACTTATTGACTAAGAGTAAAGTGGAAGTGCAGGACACAAGTTGAAAAAAAAGGTTTATTAATGACTGGATCGGAAAGTCTGTTTTTGAAAGCAATTAGTAAAGCAACAGAGATTGTTTGAAAAGAAGTTGGAGTAGTGAACAAAGCTTAAACACTTTAAGATAGGATTACACACAGCTGGTCTACAGAATCCAAATGAATTCAGTAGTCACACAGGTGTCAAGGGGTTTGGGACACATAGACATTTGACTGCAAACATATAACCCAGTAAGGGTTTTAGTACTTGTTTGGACATGCTCAGAAATAGTTGACACTGGCATAATCACAAACCAGTCAGGAAGAATACAAACACATAGAGGGGGATAGGGATTTGGGGATTCATAAGATGGTAAGTACACAGTAAGTAAAAGACAATTAACAAGGCATGCTTTGAAACACACATAAGGGAATACATTAATCTAAAGGGAAGGGGAGACATAACAACATGTTGATAATGTAACTTAACTACAAGTTTCACAACAGAACCGCAAGTAGAAGCAGACTAGAAATAAGAGAAACTGAAACAATAAGAGAAACATGTTGCTATTGAAGCTTTAAATTAAAACTAGGACATACCAGTGAAGAGAGAAGTAAGCAGAATGAAAGAATAAGAGAGCACAGATGATTAGCCTTGGCTTGCAGCCGGCTAATAGCAGAAAATGTCACAAGAGAGAGGGGAGAGCAGAGATTTTTAGTAAGAGAGGTAGTTTTGAAAACCAAGTGTCTCTGTTAATGAAAAACTTAGGGTATTTATAGTTTTGAAAATAGGCAAAAAATAAGGTAACAAGTAAAGGTTTAGCACAATTGTGGAAGAATTCACAATTAGAATCCAAGTAATACAAGTACTCCCCTTTAATCAAGGAATCACAGCTTAAACGGATACCAACAGGGATAACCAAGGAAAGAAAATCAATTGAGAAAGACTGATTTTTACCATATAAGGGGTAGTAAAAGTATAGAGCATATGATTGGGTCTAAGTACAGAACATACCAATTAAGGAAAGGATTCAGTAAGAATGAAGTATCATAGCAAATAAGGAAATGGAATCAGTCAATTTAAACAGACAAGTAGAATTTTAGGGTTTTGAAAGGAAATCTTGCAATCAAACCATAAATTAATGAAATCAGAATCAATCAAGAGGGAGTCATGATTCCGTACTTCAACATATAAATAGAGGGGAACGAACAGGCGTAACAATAGGCAAGGTCAGCCATATCGACAGAAAGAAGAAAGAGATGAACACAATTATACAGAAGTGACATAGGTAGGCTAAAGACTCAGTAGAAAACTCATTCGAAGCATGGTAACCGACAGAAACTTAACAAAATTAGGCAGCCATGCTAACACACAGAACTAAAGCAAAGAAGATCTAGAAAAATTAGGGCTTTTTAACAGAGTCGAGTTAAAAAGCAGTAGGAACATAAGATCAGTCAAAATAAGCAAGGAAAGAAGTTTAATCATAAAGAAAAATCGGTTAAAACATGTGTAGAAGAAACTTCGAGAAACCCTAATTTTTAAAGAAAGTAAAACGGTTTAAAGTTGAGAGTCTTTCAGAAAAAGTTCAAGAATAGTGAAAAACATAGGAAGAAACAGACTTAAAGCATAAAAATAGCACAGATCTGAGAGATTCAGACAAGAGTTAGGGTTTCAAAGGAAACCCATATAGAAACAAAAGAACATGTTGTAAACTTTACCGATCGTAACATATAAGGTGTGATTTTGCCCAAAATCACACCGGAGAAGCCATGAATAACAGAAACAAAAACCCTAGATCCAAATTGGCATGGCACAGGACCCTTGAAGGCCTTAGAGATTATGAGTAAGGCGGTGGAGTGACCATTGGAGGCTTGAGGTTGAAAGATAGTCGCCGGAGATGACCGGAGAAGGAGGCGGTGGTTGAAGAATGATTAGGGTTAGGTTGAGAGAGAAGGGAGATGAGAGCATCTGAAGGCGGTGGGGGTTTGGAAATGAGTAGGGTTAGGGGGTCATTTAGGAATTAAAAAGGAAAGGGTGTGTGTGGACTGTTGATCTGGGAGATCAACGGTCAGGATTCAACCGGGTAGGTGGGTTTCGGGTTTAGGTAAGGGTTTATATGGTCTGGGTTGGGTTATTTAATAGGAAATTGGGCTGGGGATTGGGTCCGACTTGGGCTACAATTGAAATCCAAATCCGGTTATTATTTAAATAGCCACTTTCCCTATTTTAATTTACAATAAATAATAGGTAATTCTGGAAAATAATTTAATGTGACAAAATGATTTAAAATACATATTTAACATTTTAAAAATATAGGAACTAATTTTACGCATATAAAATATAATTACACCTTAAAATGATCTAACATTACAATTATATGCAATTTAGCTTTAAAACAAATACTAAATGTAATGCATAAAAATTACATTAGCTATATTTTGGCATAAGTATAGAAATAAAATAAATAAATTATCATAACAATAATTTTGAAAATAATTATTGGGGTT